TAATTACTAGCACGCTCGCGAATCGATTTACCGTGCCGGGGGTGAATCCGGTGTTTATGAACCTGCAGATTCCTAATCCAAACGCATTTGTGATGCATATGTTACTGGCAGTGTGTGAAAACTAGGGATCGTATAGAACGCCTAGGCAATATGTATATGTATGTACGTAGAATGCCTGGCGATTTTGGGTAAAATACATAATGGAGAATGCATTATACATCGCGCATTCTTCGAAAATAGGCAAACGGTCAAACTAATTTCTTATTCATTCGGGGATCGGCATTGTATTTGGTGAAAAGGCAATTAACTCCTGAGAAGAATAAGCTTTCCCTCTTTTGTTATAGGAATCCATAGTCAATCGCGAAAACGGTCCGTCACGTTGCAAATAGGTCTCAGAATTCTATTCTATTTCTCAACAGCGAGGCACCCAATTTCGAACGATTCCAAAGGTAAAATTATTAGAGCCGTTCCTTATTCTGAATAGTAATTAATTAAACGTGTCATAAACCGTTGAAGTCGACGAAAATCGCTGGAAACACGTGGCGGTATATCTGTGATTCGACGTGTAAAACCGTGCGACAGGTAGACACAGAATCCTATCGAGAATCGGTCTCGGATCGGTTAGATAGTATCGCACTCATTAGGCGAGCGACACTATCGAAGTTACGATCGAACCCGCTTCCTTCTTAAACGACATTCCCGCGGGTAATTCCCCGATCGTGTCTCTGTTACGCTGCTATCGTTTCAATCTTGGATGGTCGCGTTGTCGACGCTCTTTTAACCAATCTTTTACGAACAAACTTAATGCACGCCTGTTTTTTCAATTATATTATCGAGCCTTGTATTTTGACCGACGTTATAATTTGTCCATGCGACTCGGTGATGACTAGATTGCGGGCTTAAAAGATTTGTATGCAAAGGAATACGCATGCGAATGGAATTTAAAGAAGGGAGAACCCATAATTGGATTCCATTTAAGAAAAAAAAAAGAAACAATTCGCATAAAGACTCACGGTTTAATGATATTTCCTCACATAACGTGAATATTTAATGAGACTACGCTTCAAGCTTGTAGAATGCATCATGAATTTTTGATATCACTGAGAAACGAAAGATCGAATTAGTATCTCTTTCATGACCGTCGTGTTTCATGGTGAAAGTTCGTTCGCTGTTACTGGGAATGATCGTTTAAGGACCGACCGATCAGAGTTCCATTGTGCTCGAGCTTTCGCGCAGAAATAGGCTGTCCCGTTGGATCTCGTCTATGCTCTCTGAGTAATAGAGTTCGAGACCTGGTCTCGGGCGTTGCGCGACCGATAAACGCAATCATTTGTACCGGGACCCGGTCGTTGAAATCGGCCCGCGATACCGATCGGCGTGCGAGAAAGGGAAATGAGCCGGGCGAAACGGACATTCCACGGTTAGGCGTATCCCCGCGCGGAAGGTGTCACGGGACACGGCGCGGCGTCTAATTGATCACAAATACAAAAGAATCGACGCCGGGTTCCCGTGTGCGTGTCGACCGGTCGCTTCTATAAACATGCTAATGGCGGTACCCGATAATAAGTTAGTGGCACCCGATACTGGTCTCTCTTTCCGCGCGCGACTCCTATACAAATCTCCTACACCGCCGAGACGCGACGAGACACGAGAGACAGCTGATAGAGAGAGGGTGGCGAGGCACAGAGGGATGGGGAGACTGGAAAGAATCGACGGAACGAGGAAGATAGCGGCGGAACGCGAGAGGAAAAGAGAGAAGAGGAGAGAAATGCGAAGAGAGAGAGAGGAGAAAGAGGGCCTGGTCTGACCACGAGAGCGTGCTTTACACGCTGATGCGTCCGAACATGTTGAGCCGGAGAAGCAGAATCGAGCGAAAGTGGCAGAAAAAAGAGGAAAACGAGGTGAAGATGGTGGCGGAGGTGGCATCGCGGTGGTTCCGGTGGTGGTTGCGACGAAGAACGTGACCGAGGAAAGGGCGATGGATGAAACGGGGGTGGAAGGGAACGAAGGGGAACGGGATATGAGCAGAGGGGTCGGGCGAAGGAGAGAAGGGTTAGTAGCTCTTGTAACGCTATCAACCCTGTCGCTGTACATCACGTCGACACCATCCTAGTCGACTCATTTCAAGCCGCAAGAGTAGGTAGTAGGAGTCGGCTTCTGCGCCATTACTTCGCTTCTCTCTCGCCGGTTCTCCCGTCTACGTGTGCACACGCAAACACGTACTCACGCAGGTTGCACGCGAGGACGGCCAATCCGTGGAGTAAAAAGAGGGAGAAACCTTCGGCAGAACGTGCGCTATGTCTTGGAAGCAGCGTGTACTCCTCCCCCGCCGCCATCCTCCACCAGAGGACTGACTGATTACGTAAAATAAAATCGGCGCGGCTCGTTCGCTAATGCGAGCGGAATTTACCTAGGGAACGCGGCGTGGCGCGACTGCCAGGTAATTGCGCTCGTTACGCTGCGGAACGAACGATCGATCGGATGTGTTCCGTGGTTCGCGGCTCGTACAAGCTCAGAATCGTGATACTACCCTCGTAGAGAAAGAATTAACTAAGAACGATTAAAAGAACTGGTTCGTTTTCCCACCTATCTTGCATCTACGTAAGAACACTTTATCTAGAAATGAGCGTTCGACTTGTCGTTTTAATCTCACTTAAGACTGAACGGCTTCGCTTCTTAAATCATTAAGAGAAACTAACAGTTTCATAGGAACGTCAATGAGAAGCGTGGATAAGATTCTATCGTTCTATTAAATATGTTTGCTCCTGGCGAACATTTTTGAATTCCAACTCGGAATCGTCGAATATTGTGAAGAAATTCGCTGAACAAAATTTTGTTTGGCACCGCGCGTCGTTCCCGTTGCCTGTTTGCATCCGGCGGCGGGCGGGTCCGGGAGACGTGCGAGAACGTCTGTTTTTCGTGGGATATCTCTCGGCCATTTCCGTTTAATTGATCGTCCCGAAACGTTGCCACGTATATACGTGCTCCGTGGATCGAAGACGATACCGGGACGGCGGTTTCAATGGTCAGTGGACGAGCCAATTAGCTCCGTCCCAATGCTCAGGTACACTCTTCTCTCTACCCTCGGTCTTATCCTCCTGACACGTTCACGCTCCTCTTTCCCTCTTTCGAACAGCTTTCGTCTCTTTCCCCGGTTCCCGGAGCCACGGATTCCTGGTCTATATGCGACCTGGAAGGCTTCCGGGCTGAAGCGGACATTACGGGCCCACTTCTGTCCTCGGACGGAACACAGAAAACCCGGGGTCCTATCTTATCCGCGAAGAAGTTTATAGCCCGGTCGACTCTAATTGGGCGAGAAATCATCGGCCACTCCTTTCCTCGGTCCGCTCGCTCAAAAAGACGCTCACTAATTCACGATTTCTCGCGTATTATTGCCGGGCCTTGTCACCCTCCTCGCCCCCTTCGTTTCCTCACCTGACTCACCCTCCCTTCTCGTTCTCTCTGTATCTTTCGACACGCTCCTCCTTCACGATATTATTCGTTCCGCGCGCTGCTTCTCACGATGACAAAATTTCACGAACGTACCCGACGATTTTTCTTCGAGTACCGAAATCCTAAATACACGCGATTTTATCGTGTCCTCCGACTGGTACAAGCCCTCTCGGCTTGATTTTAATGTAATATATTAAACGATACTCGTAAAAATCATTGGGGAAAAAGGATACTGCTCGGCACAGTCGATTAAGTTGCCAGAGAGATCGATAACAGTTACACAAATTGCCTCGGACGTTTCTTACCGGAAAAGGAGATATAACGTGCCGCGGAGATATAACGAGGTAAGATCTGAAGGGAGTCGTTGGCGCGCGTAGCGTGGAAGGAACTCGGAGAGAGAGAAGATGCGCAGAAAAGGGTAATGCGCTACGCTCCGAAACGGCAGGCAATATCTCATTGAGCAAAGGAGGAGGTGACTTTAACGTTGGTCCCGTTTCGGTCTTCCCATGAGCAATCGCGGCCGAGACGGGCTCGCCGCGAGTAAGATCGTTAATCTTGCCGCAACCGATCGGTCTCAGATAGTAATTGTTACGTTCTCTCGTTCCTCCTGGGCCTGAATGTGTCGGACGATACCTCCTTCCGTTCTGGTCTCGCTCGGCTTCTCCCTGTCCACCCTGTTTCCCGCGTGCGCTCGGCTGCTCCACGCTCTCCCATTCTTTATTTTAGTTTTACTTTCTCACTACCTGGGAGTGCCGAACGATCCTCACCCACCGTCGGTTTTAATGCCTTTAGCAAGTTTGTTACAATAACGTCGTTCCCCTTCTCGCCGTGTATACGCGTCGCGCGGTTAACTCCTCTTTCTCGACTGTAAAACCGGGGGTGTGATCGCCCCGTGAGCTGTACAGCAAGTGTTGCATAAATAATATTCCTTTCGCGACTGTTTTATATGAAATGCATTTACCCGAGTGAAACTAGAATCTAGAGGTATATTATTCAAAACCTATAGACAGTACGTGAACAGAGGACAAAATGTAAACGAGACCCGCGAATATTCGATCTCGTAATTATATAGTCTCGAACGAGACTCTTTTTCCCATGATCCGCTGCTCGTCTCTTCTCTCTCTTCGTTGACTCTACCGTGCGGCCACGGGCGTGGTTATAAATTTGGTAGTCGCGTTAACAGCTGACGGGGACCGCGATATCCGAAATGTCGGCGGATCCGGTGTTTTCGTGCTCTCCGGTGTACAAGCGATTCGAGCAGAGCGTGGCCCAGAAGAGTGTCGCCACGAAACCAGTTTCACGCGCGGATTCCTTATTTGCGAACCCGACGAAACCGTAGATTCGAGTTAATCGTCGATGAACCCTCCCTCCCCCGGCCCCATCGCCCCTTCCCCTCTGTCCGGTCCTTGGCCCGCGAACCGCTTCTGAGGGGATGCGAGCTTCTACAGTGATTTTCTTTCCGATTTCGTAAAGATTTCTGGGAGAGGAAGACGGACAGGGGTTGCATGAATCACTCCAACGGTTTCACAGTGAAAAGCGATTGTGAATATTTACAAACGAATTCATTTAAATAAAAGTTCAGTTTAACAGAGTTCGTTACAGGATTTTTACCAATCTATCGTTTCATTCTTCTAACTGTATCTACGCAGTGCCTAGGTAATACATTATACGCGTTAGAACGATGATTCGCCAGGACTAGAGCTCCGGATAGGCTGGGACCGTTCGCGTCTGGTTACGGACTACTCCGATCATCCCTCGCGATCGTTCCTGGAGGAAGAGTATGTGAATGTAATTGCAGCGAAGCTTTTTTGCTTCGGCGATCGCTCATGGGACAGCCCGATGGCGCGATACTCATCGAGCAAGCAATTAATTACCTATCTAAATTCCTCGGTAGTTCTAGCTGAGAATAACGCGACGACGACACCTGCATTTAACGTTAAACACGATCACTCTTGTGGTAGCACTTATCCGTAATCTTAATCATAATGATTGGACTGCAATCCGTAGTATGGGTACTCTAGGAGACATTTTAATGAACGAGGGTGATGGTAAACCATCACGAACCGACCTGTCTTGCTTTCAACAAAAATTCCAAACATTCACCGGTCAGCCAAAATTTACAATCCACGTTCGTAATCCACGATTAGCTCGTCGCTCGTCGCGAGTCCAGAACCTCGTATCCGTGACACTTCGTTCTTATTCACACTCTTACGCACAGGGCAACTGTTCCGAGCACTGAATCACGTGTTTAATCACGACCGGGTGCACAATATTAGAATACGACAGATTTCCAGGAGAACCACGAAGTACTTCAACGATCGTGCTTGGTCAGTTCGAGGGGTTGCTGGTCCGTCCAGTGGTCTCTCCAGGCGACGTTAGGCGACGAGGGAACGTCCTGGTCCGAGTCCTGAACGTCGATTTCCTCGTCGTCTTCCTCGTCCTCGACCCGCTCGTACTCCTCTTTATGCGATTCGGACAACGTGGATCCGACGTTGAACTCGTGTCTCCGTTGCTCGTACGCCGGACTCGTCGGCCTCGGTACGCTCGGGGAATCCTCGCCGACGAGCTGACTGATCATCCTGAACGCGCTCGGTTTTCGCTCAGGCTGTTTGCTCGCGATCGACTCTATCCTGTCGATCCTCTCGTTCCGTTCGTCTCTCGAGTTCGCGACGACGGCCCGGAACGCGCTACTTTCTCCTCCCATGCCGGCGATCGAGCAGCCGGACGCACGGTTTATTTCCATACCGGATGCGGAATGCGGTTGCGGCGGCTGCGGCTGCTGCTGTTGCTGTTGCTGCTGCTGCTGCTGCGGCAGCGGCTGTGGCTGCGGCGGCGGTGGCGGTGGAGGCGGAGGAGGCGGTGGTGAACGTTTTAAGAGGTTCATTCGCTGGTGACGACGCCACTTTGCCCGTCTGTTGGAAAACCAAACCTAAGAGTCACGAGTTAAGGTCGTTAGATGGCTCGTGATCAAATTTCTAAGCTTTTAGAAGAAAAAGTAAGAGAGAGAGAGAGAGAGAGAGAGAGAGAGAGAAAGAAAGAGAGAGAGAGTAAGGGGCTACGCACGCGAGGACGCAGGGGACACGTATTCCGTAGCGGCGGAATCCTTTTCAGTGTGCGCTTCGTCGAAGGAATAAAAAAAGGGAAGGTAGGGAAACTGCGACCCAGGAACATGGCCTGCGAAACCAACGCGCCTAGCCCCCCGACAAAGATATCTCTTCGGATGGAATTGATCCTCACCTGCACACGAGCTTCCGAGAGAGAGGTCTTCGAGGCTAGCCGTTCGCGCGTAGACACGCAAGGATAGTGGGATCGCTCGAACTCTTTCTCGAGCTCCTCGAGCTGTTCCGGGCTAAACGTCGTCCGGTTCCTACGGAACTTCGGCTGCTCCGATCCATCCAGGCTCCCGTCGTCACCGTCGCCGTCTGCGCACAGAAACCAATGTTCTTCCTCTACTACCATTAACCTCTTCTCTGTGTCACTTGTTAATTTTACTTAATCTAAGCTCATAGATATAAATTCGTGCTATGGATAAAAATATATTCCATTTGGAAATCAGAATTCATTTGACATTCGTAAACTTCTAACTTTAAACTTTCATGAAAACATAAAAGCCTATGACTTACTCGTAAAAAAACGTACGATCGAAAAGTTTAGATACTAGTCGCAAAATAGAATTGAATTCCATCTACCCATGCTACTTTCAGTTCGTTAATTCGAAAGAGACTAATTACCTTGGAGGTAGCCCCGCGCGAGAGCGTCCGCGTGCAAGGAATGGTCGGCAGTGCCAGCCGCGGATGCAGATGCGGCCGCAGCGGCGGCAGCCGCGGCTCCTGGGCTCAGTGAGGGCGGAAGAAGCAGAGCGGAAGCTGCGCCGGAGATACCAGTAGCCAACGGCGGTAACATCCAAGGGTGTCCCGCGGCGCCGGGTGTCGGCCAGCCGGCAGGCAAATGGTGGCTGGTCGTCGGATGCTGATGAGCGCTGTTGAAATAAGGATGAGGCCCGGCGTACAGCCCGTATCCCGCCGCTCTCGCGAATTCCGCGGCCGCGCGCTCCGCGGCGCGATTCCTCAATATTCGGTTGATGCTGCTCACCGACGGAGCCGTCGCGTTGCTACATACGCCTGAGAAAGATAAACCTCTTCTTCTTCTGTTCGTAAAGTTATAAATAGGCTGCGGATCTCATGAAAATTTTATTCATAGATATGATAAATGCTGTGTAATACTAAGCATATGCAGAAAATTAGCTCTGTCAACAGACATTTCCATGGCAACACTGGAAGACATTCGGTTAACTACGGCCTTACATTAAAAATTTTCGGGTCACTAAATATCTTCTAGGAAAGGCTAACTTATTTTTTGCATATGTCTCGTACATAAAACTGTTCAGAATATTAAAAGCTGAATGCAGGTTTCGATCTATAAATATGTATAAAATTTACATTCTACTTATAAAAGTATAAATCTAATTCTGATTGAGACTGATAAGTGATAATGTCGTATTAATTTTTTCGTACTCTCTAAGCTCTCGAGAGATATGAAGGATATGATGTTTTCAAGGAATACTACGAGGGATTGTCTCACAAAACTGTTTCAATCCGCAATCACAATACTATTATCGCTATTATTGATATTGTATACCAGCTTGGCAGTATTCACCAATATCCCTCTTAAGGATGTATAGGTTATATGTATACTTAAACGATGCTACCATGTTGATTTTGTTATTATAGATTCCTATTACTATTAAAAAGCTACTTGCAAAATTTTAAATCAATTCATGGGTTTTTGAAAAATTATAGTGACTTAAAATTTGCAT